CTCCATGTATTGTAGACGGGCCTTAAGCGTATTTCGCGGAAGATTAGAGAAATGCGGAACTAATGCAACCAATTGCTGATTAGAATTTCTGTTGTACACTCTAACAGAAATGCTAAATAAATTTACGATTGGTTTTGGTAACCTACGCATCTCGAAAAGTACGCCTCATGGGGAACCGGTGGATCATGTAGGTAAAGCTAATCTTATTGTTAAGCTTCCAGCAGAGTCAACAACGACGAAAATGGGTAAAAACTCTATTAAGATCTGGATGATTTTGATGGAGAATAAGATATTTCCTGTTACGCTTATGATGGTGAATCATTATTCTGCGGAAGTTGAATTCGCGAATGGTGGAGATGCTAACCAGTGTTTGGATAAGCTATCGAAAGAGACTGATAAGTTGATTGTTATGGTGGATCAACGGAGTATATATTCTAGAGGTGTTATTTCGGATTGGCCTTCATCGATTCCGGATTTATGGCAAGCTATGGTAAATAAAGAAAGTGTCATTAAATTAGAACGTATGTACAGACGAAAATGGGACGAAAAATCAAAGAAGTCAATTAATGTAAAGAGTGACAACATTGTGATAACCATGAAAGGTGAGAATTTGTGTCGGGAGATAAGTATATTTGACAGTAGAGTTAAGTTAAGAGTGAGGCCTTATATACAATCAGTGAGGCAATGTTATAACTGTTATAAGTTTGGTCACATTAAACAATTTTGTAAGAGTAACACTGTATTAATTGTGGAAGAGAGGCCCATGGTTTGTGTGAGACTGAGAGTTGCTGTCGAAATTGTGGGGGGGTACACCGATCGACATTCAGGAAATGTTCGGTATTGGAAAAAAACAGAAGTATTAATACAATTATGGCATATCGTAACGTATCATTTCATAAAGCTAGGTTAATTTTGGAAGGACGAGAAGATGCTGGAGTCGATTCAGGATATGATAGGTATGAAAGGCCGGAGAGGTGGCCGTCTTTACCGAGTCGTGGAGTAGCCAATGAGAATGCTGAGAGGCGAAATGAGGTTAGTAGGAACTATGGAAAGACAGAGTCTATTAATAGAGAATATGTGAGTAATGTTCGACCTCATGTTAAAACATTTGCTCAAACAAATAATAGAGTTAGAGTACCTAATAGGAAAAATAATGATAAAGGCTGTGTGATATCAATAATTATTTTTCACAATTTAATGACCGATCATGGGATATTAATAGAGAGAGGAGAGGTTTGGCTCTTCGTAATAATTTCCAGGTAGAGGAGCAAATTCCAGTAGGTAACGAGAATGGTAATAATAATAGATATAATATGAATATAGATACAGAAGAATCTTTTATTGAACGTATTGTGGAAAAGGTTATGTTGGCTTTGGAGACCGAGATCAGAGTGGGGTGGCTGGACAATGAAGAAGAAGGAAATCGATTGAGTCGAAGATCGGCTAGTTTTTCTGAGAAAGGAGATAAAAGTAATAATGAACAGAGTAAGTTACATCAAGAGAGATCTACTGTACGTAATGTAAAGAGAGGCTATTGGAGAAATTAGGTATTGAGCATTATATATATCTTTTTTTGTATTTTTTCTTTTATTTTATTTTTATATATTTATTATAATTAAGATCCTTTTGCGGAATTGCCGTGGATATAAAAATAAAAAAACAGGAGCTTTCGAGAAACGTTGGCGGATATGATGTTATTGTGCTCATGGAAACTAAATGCCCGCATAATAGTGGAGTCTATATTTCAGGATGTAGAACGTACCAGATACCGAGTCGAGGCCTTAGTGGAGGTCTTGCAATTGCAATACGGAAGGATATAGATTTTAACATAATTTCCGGTTTCCGGGGTTTGGATGGTGGTTTTGATATTCTTGGAATTAGAACCATTAATCTGAGTATCAATTTTAATGTTGTATCTGTGTATCGTCGACCAGGAGGCTCTCTCAGGGTCAATGACTTTAGACCCCTTTTTGATTTTGATCCAGGTGGCTGTGAATCTATTTTTTTAGGAGATTTTAATGCGAAGAATACTTTGTGGAATTGTGAATATATGGATACTATTTGGGAATCTTTACAAGAAGCTATGGAACGCAGGGATTTTATGTGTGTTAATATGGATACATGCTCTCGTATCGGAGCTATTGGAGAGAGAGACTCTAATTTGGATCTATTATTCTGCTCTGCTGCTGTTTTGGATAATATTAAGTATAATCAGCTAGATGATACATGGGATAGTGATCATTTTCCAATTGTTTTTAAATTGGAGACTCATCGAGGGATATATAATAAGCGTACTAATAGGATTACTACCAAGAAGACTGATTGGAACAAATATGCTGAGTTGGTTAGATCTAAGTTTGAGAAATTCTTTGCTGAATCCTCTGAATTAATTACAGGTAGTGATGGATTGTCTGTGCGGTACTCTGGTTTTACTAAAGTACTGACAGATGCTGCCCATGAGGCGACTGATCGTCGTCCGAACCAATTGAGTGGTGGAAAACGGATTAGACGAGAAAAATCTGGTAACCCTAACAGCTGGTGAGACAAGGATTGTGATAGTGCCGTTAATGACAGGAAGATGGGTTTGAGGGAATTTAAGAGAGACAAATGTTTAAATAAATATATTGAATATAAAAGATGCAGAGCGGTGGCCAGAAAAACAAACAAATATAAGAAGAAGATGAATTTTGAAGCGTTCTGCAAAAGTATTAATAGATTTTCTGGTATGCGTTATGTGTGGAATAAAATGAGAGTTTTAAAAAATACTAGAAAGAGTATTGAATGGAATAAATGGCAGACCAAAAATAGAGAGGAGGAGATAGTGCAGGAAATCTTTAAACTGTCGCCTGATGGAGTGGTATCCGATTTGAAGTTACTGTCATCTGGGGAAGAGGAATCTCCAATGTGCTCTTTATTTTGCTATGAAGAACTCGAGAGAGCGCTGAGCATGGTGAAGAGAAATACGGCTCCTGGTAGAGACGGCATCGAGTATAGAATGATCAAGGCCTTACCTGCCGAGGCTTTGAGGTATCTGTTGAATATTTTTAATACTGTCTGGAAGATATGGGAGTTGCCTTTTGAGTGGAGTAGATATCAAGTGATTTTTATTGATAAACCAGGAAAAGAGAAGGTGCGTCCGATTTCTTTGTCATCGTGTGTAGGTAAAGTTATGGAACGTATGGTGAATGAACGTTTGATCTGGTGGGCAGAACATGAGAATAAGTTTAGTACAACCCAGAATGGATTTAGAAGAGGACGTTCATGCGCGGAAAACCTGGTGAAGATTACGTCAGACATTAGAATATCTATGTTATCTGGAGGATACACATTGGCGGCCTTCTTGGATGTGACTTCAGCATATGATAATGTTGTTTATTCCATTATGATTGATAGATTGGTGTCTATGGATTACCCGGACAGTATTGTTAATTTTATTAGTAGATGGTTATATCAGAGAGAGGTACAATTTATTGTTAATGGTAGTGAGTCTGTGGATCGACTTGTTCGTAGGGGGTTACCACAGGGGGCGGTGCTTAGTCCGCTATTGTATGCACTGTATACGGCAAACATTATAGATGGAGTTCCTGCGGGAGTTGAAGTGGTCCAGTTTGCGGATGATGTGGCGGTGTATGTATGTGGAGTTAATAGGGAAAATAATAAGGCACTGTTGCAGCAGGCTATTAACATTATAAGGAGAAATTTGGAGGATTTGGGTCTTTCCTTGGAGCCGGATAAGACAGCTTTGGTGGAGTTTTCTAAATATGGCGGATGGGATAGACAGCTTCATATAGAGATATGTGGAGTGCCAGTTATGAACCGTAAAGAAGCTAGATTTTTGGGCGTCTGGTTGGATGATGATTTGGGTTTCCATAAACAAGTTAATGAAATTCGTGGTAGAGTGGATAAAGCAAATGCCATTTTGAAGTATTTATCCAAAACTTCAAAAAGTGTAGAAGTAAATACAGCCCTTTTATTATATAAAAGTCTGGTTCGATCGGTTACAGATTATGGTATTTTTGTTTATTATCCTAGAGAATGATCGATACAGTTAAAATTAGAGAAAACACAATTTAAGGGAATAAGAACTGCCTTAGGATATAGGAACAGTACTCCTAATAATGTTTTGATTGCAGAGGCAAAAGTTATGCTGCTAAGAGATCGCGCTGATATGTTGGCCAGGAATTTTTTAAGTAAGATTTTTGTTTATGGCGAGGAGAAGCTAAGGACTAAATTGAGTAATCTTAAAGCTGCTGATAATTATGCTACATTCCGTCAGCCACATTTGGCTAAATGCATTATTGTTAAAGCATGGGAGAGAATAGTTCAGCTGAGATTGATGATTGGTCCCCCCAAGAAGTTTGAGATCTTTGATTGTTCATATGATGCACTTACTGAAAAGATAGAAATTGATACATTGGTAGGAATGAGAAGAAAGTCGGAAAAGGGATTCACTGATATGAAGATGATCCAGGTAATTACGGAGCTTTATGATCTTGATCGAGACTCAGTTATTATATATACAGACGGCTCAAGAGGAGAACAGTCTAGATCGACTGGAGCTAGTATTGTCTTTGAAAATCAAGATTATGCGTATAAAGTTAGCTTGAATAAACTTTGTTCGTCTTATACTGCTGAGGCCTTTGCTATCAAGGCTGCTTTAGAGATCATTATAAATCGGAACTTGGAGCATTGTATGGATTTGATAGTTTTTTCCGATTGCAAATCGGTTTTGGAGGCCATCAAAAATAATCATTAAGTGTTTATAAGAATTGCTATATTACAGAAATCAGAAACATGCATTACAGACTCAAGAGGATGTATAATAGTAAGATTGTTTTTGTGTGGGTGCCATCGCATATTGGCATTTTAGGTCATGAAACGGCGGATGAATTAGCCAAAGAAGCTGCATCGGAAGAAGAGGATAGGAGTATATATGTACCGATACAAGATTTAAGAAGAGTATTTAAGACAGAAACATGGAACTATACACAAGAAACGATAACAAGGGAGGAATTGTATAAAGGAAAATTTTATTTTGAAAATTATTATGATATCAATAAAACAAAGCCTTGGTTCTGTGAGATGAATGAAGAGCGTTATTTTATTACTTTTGTAAATAGAATTAGATCTAATCATTATAATTTAGGGGTTTCTTTGTATAGGAAAAATTATGTTGATAGTGAACGATGTGAGTGTGGTTACAAAAGAGAGAGTTTGGATCATTTTATTTGGCAATGCAGTAGATACGAAGAATTGAGATTTAGGTTAGATCAAGAATTGAGGTTAAGAAAGGTTTTCCACCACGTCGACGTAGGTGAGCTTATTAAATCGGAGAATTGGTCAACGTTAAGAGTTATTTTTAATTACATAAAGAAAACAAATAGAATTATTTAAGAGTTATAGTTTTTCGTTGAAGTTAGTATTATGTCCTTTTATCTTATAGTATTGTTGTTTAGTGATTTGTTATAAATTGGATCTTCTTTGCGTCATATTGTTCAAAGATTAGGACAGAAGGCGCGTATTTTCCCTCAATCCGAGGGACACTCCAAAGAAAAAAACTTTAACGCTTAATATCTCAGATCACAAGGCAGAACGACGTTATTTTTGCCAGATTCTTTTGTTTCATGCAAAAACGCGTCGAATAAACCTAAGAGTGGTTTCACAAAATTTTCCAATTTTAATAATTTATTCGATCATCCGCTCATATACAGGGTGACCCATTTTAACTTAAACAGCCAAATAACTCGAAACATCGCGATTAAGTAAAAAAATGTTTAAAACAAAAATTGTTGGAAATGAAGGGGCTGATTGAACTATGACCTTGACAATGACCTTGACTTTCATTTTCAAGGTTATTTGAAGGTCTATTTTCAATTTTCAAATAGAAACCAATATTGTTGATCCCGGATTTTGAAAGAGCGCAAAATTTTACGTCCAGATGAACTTTCATGTTATGGGTCAAAGTTGACCATAGAGGTCATTTCAAAAACAAATTCCTAATCGAAGCAGAAAGCCAAAAAATCTTGATTTTTCCAGGATAGTGTTTGTGAGAAAAATTGTTGGGTGTCGAGGGGAGACCAAACCATGACCCTGACAATGTCCTTGGACCCATATTTTCATGACCATTTCAAGATTAAGTGGGGATTTTTAATAAAACTTTATTCTACATATGTATTTTCTTGTTGTGATTCTTTAGATGGATGGCACCCAGTTGGACACGGCTCAATTGGACACGAGCCACTCACAGCGCTTGAGACTACAAAGCTCCTAAGCATCGGTCGCTGTGATTGGTGGTGTCCAATCGAGACGTGGTCAATCGGGATCACCCCCTTTAGATATTAGCATACCTTACTTTCAAAATCGAAAATTAAACTTTCCATCTGATGGAGTTCTTCTAAGTATCCCTCCAAAATTTTGTCCATTTAGTGCCAAAGTCACAAGTGCTTATGTATTTTTTTTAACATTTGTAATCTGATAAAATTCTGGTCAGTAAAATGGCAAATTATACGCCTACAGAAGTAGTCGATATTTTTATAACCTTTGGTGAATGTGGTAGAAATTACAGACTTACTGCCCGTACTTATGCGGAGCGATTCCCAAATCGCCGCCATCCTACTGCTCAACAAATTATGAACCGGCAAAAATCAAGATTTTTTGGTTTTCTGCTTCGATTAGGAATTTGTCTTTGAAATGACCTCTATGGTCAACTTTAACCCATAACATGAAAGTTCATCAGAACGTAAAATTTTGCGCTCTTTCAAAATCCGGGAAAAATATGGGTTTCTATTTGAAAATTGAAAGGAGATCTCGTAATAATCCACTTCATCGCGAAAGGCGAAGGAATAGACTTCATAATAATAATGATCCTAGATTGCTCGCAGTTTTGGCTATGGTTCATCAAAATCCCCATATTAGTACCCGTCAAATAGAACGAGAACTAGGAATCCTTCAAACTACGGTACACAGATTGTTACGATCAGTCAATTACCATCCGTACCATATTACTCTGGTACAGGAATTAAGTCAGGCCGACTACGTACTTAGAGTACAATTTTGTAGATGGGCTCTTGAGATGTTAGATCAGAATCCAGATTTTTTCAGTAATGTTTGTTTCAGTGATGAAGCAACATTCATCAGCAATGGTAGTCTCAATAGGCATAATTGCCACTATTGGTCACCAGAAAATCCACATTGGTATCGTGAGGTGCTTAATCAACATCATTGGAGTTTAGACGTATCGGTAGGCATTTGCAATGGCGAAGTCATTGAACCTCATTTTTTTGAACGTACAATTAATAGTCCAATGTATTCGGAATTCCTCGAAAATGATTTGCCAGCATACCTAGAGAATGTTCCCCTTGCAGTTAGATTAAATTTATGGTATCAACAAGATGGTGCTCCTGCTCATTATGCTCGTATTATACGGATGTTTTTGATTCAAAGATTCCCAAATCGGTGGATAGGGCGGGGTGGACCAGTTCTGTGGCCTCCGAGATCACTGGATTTGAACACCCTTGATTTCTTTTTACGGGGATACGTTAAAGATGCAGTGTATAGTGAAGCTCCAATAACAAGATTGAATATGATGGAAAGAATAAGAAGAGCTTGTGAAGCGATAACTCCTTTAATGCTTGGAAATGTACAACGTA